TTTTTTGTAAAAATAAATAATAATAATAATAATAAATTGTAATATTATTCGAAGTCTACTAAATTAATTCGACAATATTTGAACTCAATTTCAGGGTGCTTTTGACAGTCCTATCATACGCACATGACGGCAGGAGGGGACGGCAGTGCATGAATGGATTTACCCCTCCCACTTGTGGTAGTTTTACTGATATTTCTTATCCCGTGCGAATCGGCCATTAATATTACTGACATCCTGTGGTAAAGTGACATTACCCCACGTGCCCATGTAAAACTAATCCTGTCCGAATAGTGCTTTAGACTGATAGTCCCTGGTGTGTACACACCAGTCGTAAAGACGCACAATGGCTTATTTGGAACTGTTAGGATGTGGCGGATGGGAGACTCCAGAAGGAAGGGATATTCAGGGACCAGCAAGACCTACTGGTCAACGATGATGAGTGGCTTATGAGCCGGTTCCGACTGCTACATGCAGTGCTGCTGGATGTCTGCGCTGCGTCGGGCCCCGGCGTTACAAAGACGCACCAAGCAGGAACCAAGCTGTGTTGGTGCTGTGCTGCAAAATATGGCACAGCTGATAGCTGATAGCTCTATACCCAGGCATTTGAGCCAGATGCTGCTGCTGCGCGCCAGTGTTTATTTCAGACAGTCACTGAAACTGACAGTCAGCTTGAAACATCCCTCGGTTTTCTGTCTAAATAAATCACCCCAAACAGCCTTAACACCTTAATATCAGACCACCCCTTCACTTCTGACACAGAGGTGGCAGCATTTTCAGCATCTGCTGCTACCGGCCACTCCGCTGCATTTTTAGCCTTACAAATACCCATAGGCATTTCTAGCCTATTTTTGGGGGTGCTGAAGCACCCCTAAATTGAATCCCAGCACCCTTAAAATTTGAGAGATTTTTTTTAATTTTGTTTTTTACTGTATGTCCTTTTTTAACAAGCTAGAAAAGAGTCAAAACCATACAGTACTTGGTTGAAACGTAATATTTTAACAACAAAAATACAGCAGCACCCCCCCCTTGCCTCAAAAATGGTTTGATCCACCCCATCCCTCCCACCTTTCCCTGACTCGGGCTCTGAGCACTCTATCTGCACAGAGCAATGCGCTGCCTTCCAGAGTGGGTGATATGCAGTAGTGGTGTAAGTACCTGGCTTAAACCAGGATATGTGGCACATTTCTTAACTTCTACCACTCAATACCAACACATTATTATCATTACCAGTCCTCATTTTTGCTGCATTTAATCGTAGGCCACTGTTTATGTTGTTAGGTAGGAGTTAGCTGACGTTTTTTCTAGCTAGGAAACGTTACAGGTGGTCAGTACCACTGTCCTCTGTTTGAATTGGAATGAGAGAAGCTAGCTGTTGTGTCATGTGCATGTGTTAATATCATACAGTCTATGGTTAATATTAAAGCCAAGGTGCTACTGACTAGCTAACTGACTGGATGCCCATTAACATTATAACTCCTATTGTGTGTATTTATTATTATTTTTTTGTAGATTTCAAGCACTTTTATTTTTTTGAAGTGTATTTTATTTATGTATTTGTATAATACAGACAAGAAGGAAAAAGGCAGAGACAAACATTGAAAAAGTCAATTACTGTTAATGTGTTAATGTTACATGTTGTGTATTGCATTTCAAATAAAAGTCCAAAAAATAAGTGCAAGGTCCATTTTTGGTATTTTTGGTACTCACTATAGGGGGCTGGTTTACTCCAGAAACATACATACTGTTTATGTGTATGTTGAGGAGCTGCTGTATCAAAATTGAGTGGATTGAGTTATCCTCCCCCAGAAATTAGGTTTACGATATGTTTCTTTTATGATTCCAATCCATTCCTCTTTTGCTGTGGCTCAGCATTTAAATAACCTTTATCAGATTTAATAATAATAATACATTTTATTTGTTAGGGTGCCTTTCAAGCCACTCAAGGTCACCTTACAGCAAAGATAAAACACAGCATACAAAACATCATAACACATCATACAATACATTAAAATAGAGGGGAAGACAGTAAGACAGTGT